ACCGCTGGGAAGCTGTTCTGCGGGAAATGCCCGAGCTTGGGTGTTTTTCTCCCAGGATAAAGGGGGAAAAAGCAGCATTTCCCCTTCATCTGGTTCACTTGCACAGCAGGAAGGGAAACATGACTTAGACCTTCAAAAAAAACCGGGACTTGCTTTGTTTTTCCAAGCCAGCCTTGATTTTACCAGCTTCTGCCAGCTCCGCTTGTCCTGGAGAGGCAGTGATTGCTTCCCCACCTCGACTGCGCGGTGTTTTCGGCTCCAGCCCCCTCCCAGGACCTGAGGGTCACCCCACAGGGTGCTGGATGGCCCCTTCAAACCCCCATCCCCCCGTCCAAAGCACAGAAGCCACCCCCTCCCCTCCCCATCGCGCGCAGGGCGGCTCTTAAAGCCTCGGGAAAGGGGACGGCGCTCACGTACCTGCATCACGAACAGCTTCCGCCATCCCTGGCGCCGCGGAGGGGACAGCAGCACCCTCGGGGGACAAGCGCGTCCCCCAACTCCACCAGCAGCAAGGTGAGCGGGGTCAGGAACGCCGAGACCGCAGCACGGCACCAGGGACCAGCCAGGTCCTCCTCCGTCCCGGGGCTTTGCCAGGATGTTTCTGCCGTCACTAAAATAAAAAAAAAAAAGACAAAAAGCTCCTAATTTCCCCCAAAACCTCAGTGCTGCTCGTCACAGCGTTTTTCTAAATCTCTCCTTTTCCTCAAAGCTCCTTTTCTCACGTCCCAGCCCGCGTCCACGCGGAATTACTGCTTCTCAAAACCTCCCACGGCAGCATATTTTTCTACATCGTTCTTGCAAACTATTTTTCTAAATTCTTTCGGGTTTTGACCTTTCCCCGGACACGGCCTTTTCCCAGAGCCCATGGCAAAACGTTATCGGACTCGGGTCTCTCCTCAGAGGAGGAAAACCAGCTCCACAGGAGCTATTTGTAGAACGTTTACAAGAAAAACCTCAAAGAAACAGAACCGGAATCCGCCGATGCAAAATAGAAAATCCTGCGGATGCCGTTGTCAACAAGCCCCTGAAGCCACCAACAGCTCCTCTAACAAAAAGCTTCCGAATTTACTAAAACTACATATAAAAAGCTGATTTCAGCTGCCCAGCTGGCCTCCCTGCTTCCTACCAGCAATGTAAATACAAATTACACGACCAGTACCCGCACTTGGGACCTTCCTTAACTTGCAGGAAATATTTTCCAGGGAAGAAGAGCCTTCATGTGTTGGCAAAGGTGAGAATCAAAAGGATTTTTTTGGGTTTTCCCCCCCAAACATTTGATTTTTGAATAGGGTTTAATTGGTGTAAGCATTTTGCTGCTGTCCCCAACACCCAAATTCCTCCTGCCCCAAGCTGCAGCATTTTGGGGGTAAAACAGCAGGTGATGGAGGAAGAGGAGGGGAAAAAAAACAGACACCAAGCGGGGAACAACAGAGAAGCTTGATCGTCAGAAAATACTCCCAAATACACCGGGCTCGTGGGAAATACAGCACTCGTGTCCCAAAAAGCGTGACAAAAATATTACAGGCGAACGTTGTTCTAGTTCACAGCCTCGGTGGGGTGAAACGTCGCTGCCCGGCGACGCGGGAAGAAATCAAAGGCGCTTTTTGTCTAGCGCCCAAGGAGCGTGCAGCACGCGGGGCTGGACCCCTCGTGCCCCGACAACACCCAAATACTGCTAAAAAAAAGAAATAAAAGAAAAAATCCACCTTTTATACGCAACAGGGCACACAGCGAGGCGTTGCTGCAAGGAGACACCCTGGGGTCACCAGCACCCCAAAGCGGGACCCACAGCCCGGCGAGCCGGAGTCCCAGGGGAGAAGGGAGGAGAGCGCCGAGGGGGAAGGTGCCGGAGGGTGGGGAAAAAAAAAAAGCTGTCCCCAAATGAAGTTATGGGGCTTTGCGAGGCAGCCCCAGCGCTCTGCAGGCTCCCAGCTCGCCCTCCGCGCGCTCAGAGGAAAAGGGGCTTTTCCACGCCAGCCGCCTCGTCCGAACTCAGGAAAGCGCCGCGGAACTCGGGGTTTCCAGCTGCCAGGCGCTGCGGGGAGAGGACGGATAAGCTCCCACCGAGCCACCAAAACCTGCAGATCCCCCCTCCTCCACGCCCACAGCCTCCATCCAGATGAGGGATTTAAACAGGCACCGGGACGGTCCCTGCTCCCGAACCCCAAATTCATCCCGTCGTACTCAAGCAAGAGCCCAGCGAGTTGGAAACGGCCCCGACGCTTTCTGGGGCAAACCACTCCTCCGCCGGACCACCACTGCTCCCGTACGATATTTTCGGTTCATCTCACGCCCTCCTCTGCCCCCCAAAGCCAGGTGGGGGGACGGGGGAGCGGCTGCACCCCAAACCCCAGCCAGGCTCCGCCAGGACCCGCGGGAGCGGCGCGAAGCGGGAACACACGGG